AGATGTTATATTAACTGTAATTTGGTATTGGGACAGCTCTCCGCCTGGCCCTCACCCACACATTTTGTTTAGTTTTTTTTATCGGCTGCCTTATTATTTCGAAAGAATTTGGTGCGAAGAGAACAATCCTATTTTCGAGGCCTTCATAACTGAAGTATACGTCGCTTTTCCAGCATAGTTTATTGAATACCACTGAGGGCTGCCAACATGCATCTCTGGATTTATGCATGTTTTTGGTAGTGAACGGCGCTCATGCCAGTTCTGGAAAATAACCTTTTCTTATATCTTTTCTATGATCATTCCACTGCTACATGTTTACTCATGATTTTTACTTCCATAATTTTTCGTGATTCACGTGAACATCACGCTTTACATTAATGATATACAGGCATTCTCATGATTATTAATTGATTTCATTCAACGGATTTGACTTTCATTCAGTGCTAGGTAACACTTAAACTGGCATATAAGCGCGTGTCAAAAATTTTCGATCTCATATCACAGTAGTGCGCTTACGAGGAATGACTTTTGCCTCTAAAAACCATTAATTCTCTGAATCCGGGGGGTTCAGTTCCCTCAAAACTGGTTCACTCATTGATATTGTATTGATAAATATTGGTTTATTAATAAATTGCATAAATTTGTGATTGATTTATTCATTTGGCGGTTCAATGAATTGGTTAATTAGCGAAAGTTTCCTTAAATTTGAATCTGTTGTGAGAAGACTGCAAAAATGGAAACAATCAGACCAGTAGTACCATGCCCACTGTACTTGAGTACCTTATAAAGCCGATTTTTCATACTTTAAAATCGAGCGGTAACTCTGATGACGAAGTGCTGTTGTAGGATTGAAAGAGCCGAGCAGACATTAATGATTATTCAAACCAGAACTGATGAGATATTTGGAGCGTTCTGTGATGCAGCATGGTCAACACGACGTAACAAACGAGATACTGGTCCTCAGGGGAAGTATTTCGGCGACGCCCAATCGTTTGTGTGGAATTTGAGCGCGGACGGTCAGCTGAATGTGTATAACTGGGCCGAAAGACAACCTCGATTCTTCATGGCTGCACCAACCGACACT